TAAATAGTATGTCTTTTAAAAAATCTTGTCATTCAGTTTATGGCATAATTTTTATTCAGAAGGTTTATATTTTTATGACGTTCATGTTTTTTAAATGGTTTTTGCCCTTATAAAGATCTTTTCCTTTTAGGCTTATATGGTTACCTCCCCACCCCCAATATTTTCTTCTATTATTTTCTTTCTTTTTTGAAATTCTACCATTATTTTTCTCTGAATATATGGATTTTTTTAGTCAACTTCTGATTTATTTTAATATTTTATTTTATATAATTATTACATCATTTTTCATCTTTGCACAATGTATGCATTTTCATTTTGGTTATATTCCCCATACAGTTGCACCCCCCCCTTATTTTGAGTCTAGTTCTTCCTCTGCCTGCCCACCTCCCCCCCCAGTGTGTCTGTGGTTTATAGTTGCTTGTTGATTTTGATTTTTACTTCATATTGATTAGTCTTTCTCCTGGTCAGCTTCTGATTTTTAACTTAGTTCCGCTTGTAGTTTATTTGCATATCTAAAAGCATACAATTATCTTTATGCTTATTTTTTAAAAAACCTTTCTTCCATGCCTGCTATATTATATATATATATATATATATATATATATATATATATATATATATATATCTAGTCCTATATAATAGGACTTAGGAATCTTTATTTGAAGTGCTTAAACTTTTCTTTCAAAAAGGAGACCACAGATACTTGTAACACTGCTCAATATTGGATATATTTGTTTTGTCTTAATTTAAATAGGTTAGGATTTTTTGAATAGTTTATGAAATACCAATTTTGGTCTTATCAAGTCTACTTTTAAAAATTTATTTATCCCGGGCCTCCCGTGGTGGCACAGGAGGTTGAGCGCAGCGCTGTCCTCAGCCTCTGTAGTGCCGGCTGGCGGGCGAGGGTCCCACATGGCTTGGCAGACCTCTCCTGTCTTGCCCCTGCTCCCCTCAGCAGTGTATTTCGTCAGTCTCTGGTGAATCCTCTCACCCTCCGGCACATCTGGCCTGTACCTTGGTTCTTGTACAAATAAATAAATAAATCTTTAAAAAAATAAATAGGGCCTCCCTGGTGGCGCAGCGGTTGAGCGCTGGGTTGCGAACCTGCCCGCAGCCTCTGCAGTGCCGGTTCGATCCCCGGCTGCTCCCCGGCCACCGGAGGAGGGTCCCACATGGCGCGCAGACCTCTCCTGCCGCCCGCTGCTCCCCTCAGCAGTGTACTTCGGCCCTTCTGCCTGCTCTGCTCCTGGCTCTGGCTCTGGTGAATTCTCTCAACCTCCCGCGCTTCTTCTGACTGTACCCAGTGCTTGTATAAATAAATAAATAAATCTTTTAAAAAATTATTAATCCCTCCATTTAGATTTTGTTACCCATACCTTCTACTTTCTTTGGATTCTATAATTTTTTAAAAAACTTCTCTTGTTGTACATATATCTAAATCTGTAAACTTTTTTTTTAGTAATAAAACTATAGAGTATTTAAAGTTTTTAGGAAATGGATTTGGATCAGCCCTTGAAGTTTGCTATGCCTTTTCCTTTATGGTTGTATAAATAATTTGTTATTTGACTTTTAATTGCATCTTAGTATCTGGAGCTATTTTGGAGAATGTTTTAAAATGTCTGAGTAGTTGATTTTATTTCTTATATTGTGATTGGTTTATGATAGTGTGATCTCCTGAGACTCCCTATAAAATTTCTACAACCTGGAATTTCTGAATATTTTCTTTGTGACATAGTATCTGATAACATGATTACTGCAAAGCTTTTCATTTTCAGGCATTTGTCTTTTAACTATGTTTCTGGCATCTTTCTCCACCTGCATCTTTTTTTTTTTTAGTTAAATCTATCTTTTCTGGCTTCTTGGTTTTATGTCTTTGTTACTGACCTTTAAGTTAAAAACACACACATTATATAATTATGTTTAACTTCTGCCAATTTAGACTGTATACTTCCTCAAATAGGAACTTCACATTTGCATGACCAAGTTACTCCTATTCTGTTCTCCCCATAAATAGACTTCACCTTCACCTTTGCAAGCCCTGCTGATTCCTTAAGTGCCATTCAGAGTTTTCATTCTCTATAAACATTTTCCAGTTTGCTTACATCATGCAATCAGAGCCACATCTTTCTTTTCGGATTTTTCTCTGCACAGTTTTTGCACCTTCCTGTGATATGTGTATTCTGCTTTGCACTGAGATTAATTCAGTACTTAATCTTTCCCTTATTTTCTTGAGCATAAGAACTACTTTTTTTCACTTTTATTTTCCCAAGCACAAAAACTGGCACACAGTCAGCCCTCAAGAAATACTTACTGTTCTTGAAGGGTGTTAATGTGGGAGAAATACTTTCTCTAATTTAAAACTTGGTTCTATTTGTTGAGAGCTGCTTGGGTAGAGCAGTGGTTACTTGCCAATTTTCAGTCCCCATCCTGTTTAACCTGACATACGGAGAACTGTGGACACCTGTGCAGCTGGGAAACCTAGACCAACTTTTAACTTAAGAGGTTAGAAAATAGAATTACTGCCATTGTTTCTGTTTTATATTACCAGACTGAACCAGTAAATTTCTTTATTTTCTAAGGTATCTGAATAAAAACATATTATTTATCTAAAATAGCACTAGGGAACAGGCTGCTTCTGATGTCAGGTTGACCTAAAATAAGCTTCCTTTTCCCATACAAACTCTCCATTTATTTGTGGGAAAATATCCCTGACTTTGATTTTCAATATCTTTCCATGAAAGTTCTTTGATAGGCTCTCTTTTCTAACAATTTGCCTGAGCCTTCCCCGATTGTAAGCTTTCAGATAAGAGTAGCCTGTTCTCCAAATAGCATGATTTCCATTTAGCCTTTAATAATTGTTTTGAATGGGGTTTTAAAATTCACCATATTTAATGAAAGGGTTACCTTTTAAGAATCTATTTCATCATTCAGAAATGGAAAATGGATTTTTCTATAAAAATTTTGCACGTACCTATACCATCCCTACCCATTCACTCATTCATGCATCACAGATACTTCCTTTCTATTTGATTTTCATTTGTTTAGACTTTTCCCTTTGATTTGACATGATGGGCCTTTCTAAAAAGGTACAGATCTTGACTGGCAATGGATGTGAACTCCAATTTGATGCTTGTGCCATGAATTAAGCAAAGTTAATAGCTCTCTACTTCCTGGGTGGATAAAGAAAACCTCTCAATTCCATAGGCACTGCCAAAAAGCAGGAGGATGTGTCCTGCTAGAATTGCAAGACTCATTTTTCAATTGCATTAGTTCCTTGCTTGAAATCATTTTAAGGGAAGCAAGGAAATCTTGCAGAAATTTGTCATGTTTTGTGTGTATATCAGTTTGCTAGGGTTGCCATAACCAAATGCCACCGACTGGATGGTTGAAAATAGTTCATTTTCTCACCATTCTGGAGGCTGGAATTCGAATATCAAGGTATCTGCATGTTTGGTTTCTTCTGAGGCGTCTTTCCTTTTTTTTGATGTGTCCTTACTTGGACACACCTTTTCTCTGTGTGCATACATCCCTGAGGTCTGTCACTCCTTCTAGGGTGCAGCCATATGACCCCATTTGACCTTTGTTATTGTTTCAAAGGCCTTATCTCTAAATATAGTCACATTCTATGGTATAGGGAGTTAGAACTTCAGTATATGAGTGGGAGGTGGGCACAGTTCTGTCTATAAGACCATGACCAGTGGAAATGTCACTATGCTGTACTTCAAGGAGACAATATGTATAACAGATCCCAACGTATAATTAGGACTCAGCCATTGGTGGTACAGAGAGATCTTGTAATTGTTGATGTTGTGGCAGTGATTGTGCCTCATTATTACCAGTATCTAACCAAGCAAGGCCATATGCATACCAATCGAGTTAAAAGTCTTCTTATAATCATGGTGGTGGTAACTTCTAGAAGCAGCTCTTTTAATTCAGACCATATTTGATAGACAGAACCCCAAGCCATTGAAAGTATTTGGACAGAATTGAAGAGGGAGTTTAGTAGACTGGAAATGGTAGAGACTTTGGAATAGAAAAACACCTGTGTTCAAACTGCAGTTTTACAAAATATTGGCATAGTCACTAGAGATAAGTATGTTAACCTTGCTGCCTCTTTGTTGCTCTATCTAAAAACAAAATAACTGATTCATATTTGTATTGCCAAGATCAAGTAAAATGACGCAGTTGGGAATTTGGAAGGGCAAGGACCCATGTTTTAATACACTTTATCCTATAACTTATATTGAGGAAAGGGGAATAGAAGCTCTGTGTTTTAAGTTATTTTAGAAACCCTCAATAAAAAGGTAGTATTTTCAAGTAAAAAAATAGCTGTAGGGAGAGAATACACTTCATTATTTGTTATGGCAATCTTTGCTTTTATGAGATACAAAGTTTTTAAAGCAATTCCTACACATTGTACCAAAAATTTATGGAGTGAATGAAAAGGAAAAAAGTCTGTTACCTCTGACCAATTCCAATATGGAAACCTCTATTAGGATAGTCTGTTTTATTCTCTCAATATAGAAATATATATTTTCCCTTAACATATACAGACTGAAAAAAGGACATATATTAATTAAAAAATTATGATGTATGATAAGAAATATGTATATTATACATTCTGTTTTCTATTTTGGTCTTTTCTAAGTCTTTTTAAATGGTTTTTTGAGATCAATTGACATATAGCATCATGTATATATATTCTGGCATGCTTACCACAAAGAGGTTAGTTAACTTATGCTTTGCCTTACATGCTTACTATTTGTTGTTTTATTGTTATGATGACAACATTTAAAATCTATGTTCACAGCAACTTTTAAGTATATAATACAGTATTGTTAACTCAGCCACAATATTGTTCATTAACTTCCCAGAATTCCTCTTATAAATGGACATTTATAATCCTTTGACTAAATCTCTATTACCCCCACCCTCTATCCCTTGACAACCTCTATTCTACTTTATAATATTAATAACACACATTTAGGCTTTGCCAGTACCTTGCTATTATAGATAATGATTTTTCATGTCAAATATCTGCAGGACAAATTCCTAAAAGAGAAATTGCTTCACCAATGGGTTTGTGAATTTTAAATGTTGAGATATATATAGATACATGCACACATATTATGTGTGCTTTACAATCCATTCTGATAAATGTGTTGTTAGGCAGTCTCATTGTTATGCAAACATCATAGAGATATATGAGATTGCTCTCTCTGTAAATACTCTTACTATGATGGCTATGATGTCACTAAGCAATGGAATTTTGGGACCACCGTCATTTGTGGCCCTTAGTTGACCAAATAGTTGAGGTGCATGACTGTTGTGAAATCACCCTCAAAGAAGGTACACTAATATATATTCCCCCAAACTATAGAATGATTAAACAAGAGAATGACTATTTACCCATAACCTTATAAGTAAAATGTATTTTCAAAATTTTTATTTTGACAATTTAATAAATTGTGTGAGTAAATTCTTATAATAAATCACTGCATATCTTTATATGTCTCATTGGTTCTTTTCCTCTCAAGAACCCTAAAATAGGCAGATGAATCCTCAACTGTATTTTTAACCAGTATTTACTGCTAAAGCAGTTCCAGCGGGTAGCTGAACACCCATTTTACTAAATGCAGGAAAAAAAATGTGAATAAATTGACATCACCATCTTGACCCTTGTAAACATTCTAATTAGGAAGCATGAGATTTTTCACTTATATTGGGTGCTTATGGGCCTTTTTTCTTGAAAGGAAATTACTTTAATCATCATGAGGAAGATTACCATGAAAAGGGTGAGGCAAACTCCATGAACGCTTAGAGCTGGGAGGATTGTAGAGGATTTTGAGTTCTACTAACTCATTTTACAAACGAAGGACGTGCATCCAGGTGAAAGGAAGAGACTTTTCCAAGTCACACTGTATTTGTGGCAAAATTGGGTCTAAAGTCTATTTCTCCTGGCACTCAATTTGCTGCTTGTTCTATAGAATTACATTGCTTTTCTCTAGCATTCATCAGGTATTTGCCTAGTCTCATGATCAAGAAGGTAATTCTGCTCGGAGAATATCCTGAGTTTGTGGTCCTTGACTTAGTACAATTTGAAGTTTCATTGGTTTGTGACAGTCTCAGAAAACCAATCGGCATAGATTCAGTCCGTTAAATTATGGAATGTTGAAGAATCTCATTTTAAGGTACAAATGCTCCAGGAAAGAAAATATTTGAGACGGTTTCCTGTAAGTGAGAGGGAAGGGTGAGTTACCTTTACACACTGGATAACATGGATTCCCTTCCTCTATATGACAGCCCATCCCCTACCTACCTCTGTGGCTGGCTCACAGGGAAAGGGACAGAGGATCACTAGGAAGTGTTTTGAAGCCCCTAAACAAAAGTTGACCGTGGCCTGTATGGATTGCAGTATTCCTAAGAGTAGTGATGGAGGTCTGATACACACATGGTCCTCGTTTCTAGGTTACTGGAACCCAATGCTGGGACTCTTGATTTAAACAGGGATAAGCAAGAGAGGTGGCAGGATTTCAGATAGGAACTTCGAAGAAATTTTAAAAATACTTGAGACCAAATCCAATTTTTTTAAGGCATCCCTGAGATCCTTGTTAAAATGTAGAGTTAGACTATTGAGTTATCTTTTTTGCTCTGATATTACTGAGAAGATTCTTTTGATGTTTCTATATACTTGCTATTCAGTGTTAGAGATACTGTGAATATTTCATAAGATGGCCACAGATATTAATAGCATTTGGGATGCTTACATAATATTACATTTTATATTATTTTCTATGTCGCACTACTGTTTGCAGATTTTCTTACTTTTTATGTATTTGGAAAATCAGGAGAAAATGAATGGCATTCGACAGCAACTATCTTACCTAGGAAGCACGGAGACTTCTGTACTTATTTTCTCTTCCTTTAAAGCATAAGTCTTTGAAGTATGAAAGCCAGAGAACCTAAGGCACAAACTGGTGATGTTAGTAACTAAGGATAGATAATGGCCTCTTAGAGCCACCCCACGGTTCCTATTACTCACTGAAATTGGCAGATTTTAAATGGAAACTTCTGAAGCCTTAGTGGGCATTGGAATTGCTTGAAAGTTGTTTAAATGCTGACTGTGTTTCTCCCCAAGAAAGTCTGAGTATCATTCCTTAGTTGAGTTCAATAATTTGCTTTTTAAGTATTACAATTTTTTGACATGACTGATGTTTATTGTCCAAATCATCGTTCAGCTAACAGTGGAATGCTCCTAATTCTAAATTTCCAACAAGAAATTTCATAGACTCACAAATCACAGAAACTCAAAAATAGAAGTTCCCTTATAGATCATCTCTCTTTTTTCTTAATTTTTATTTATTTATTCAAGCACTGGGTACAGTCAGAAGCGCGGGAGGGTGAGAGAATCCACCAGAGCCAGGGCAGGGAACAGAACAGGCAGATGACTGAAATACACTGCAGAGGGGAGCAGTGGGCGGCAGGAGAGGTCTGTGTGCCATTTGGGACCCTCGCTGGTGGCCGGGGATTGAACCGGCGCTGCAAAGGCTACAGGCAGCTTCACAGCCCAGTGCTCAACCACTGCGCCACCAGGGGAGGGCCCGATCATCTCTTTTTTTAAGATTGGTCCAGAATATCCCTGGTCCAGAATATCCAAAAAAACCTGTTATGTTTTCAAAGTCCCCTATATGGAATCAAAATGTTTCTCCCTGTACCCTCTAATCACTATCTTTTCAGGACTATGTGTAAATGTTTAGTTCCTATTTCATAATTTAGAATATGACATTCCAGATCCTTTTGATACTTCTACTTCCTATGCAAAACATACCTTATTATCAAGCATGCAGAATTTTTACCATGATCAAATTTCAAGTATGAAAGATAGTAGGTACTTACTGTGGCCACTCCAATAACTCCATGCCCATGTGTGATGCAAGGTAATTTTCTACCTAGCTTAGTTATCAATTGCTGTGCATATACTAGTTGAGTTACCCTTAACATCCTCGTCCAAGCCCTTTCATATAGTTCAAATTGGGTAGTACAATCATGAGGTACATTTTGCTAACTTCATTTCACCCATTTTCCTAAAGATATTTCCTCAAGTGTTGACTAGATACTCCTCATCTGACTACAACATGCCAGGTTCTTTGGTGTAAGTGATGTGCAATCAGTCATAAGATAGGATGACTAGGATCACTCAACTCTCAGTCCACTGTGAGAGTTTTTAGCTGCTTTTCTTTCCCTCATCGTAAGCCGGAGGCATGGAAAATACATGATGCTCCTATATTTACATTATTTCTTCTAAGAAGTGCTTTTCACCTGTCTTTATTCCAAAGAACTCATTCCCCCAGATTTTAGGAAACTTAAGTTGGAATTATAGAATTCTTTCCAAAAGGAGTGTGACATGGTAAGAAGGAATGAAGGGAAAGCAGAATGCAGATGTGGGCGAAGACTTAAGGTAGAATTTCAAGTAAAGCATAGGGAAAGAAGAAAATGGAGCCAGCCTATGTGACTGAGTGATGGAAAGTGTGTGTGTGTGTGTGTGTGTGTGTGTGTGTAAGGACAGGGTCCCAATTTAAGGATTTTAATATAGATATTGAAAAATTAGGACAGAGACTTGCAAAGAAAAATAAATAAAGCTAGATTGTTATCTCATACCACCCAAACAAATTAATTCAAAAGACATGTAAAACTTGGATATAAGAGCTGAGACCATAAAATAACTAGAAGGAAAGGAAACAAAGGCAGTATCCAACATTGGCCTCAGTGATATCTTTGGGGACTTGATTTCAGTGGGAAGAGAAACAAAAGCAAAAGTAAACACATGGACTATATCAAACTGAAAACCTTCTGCATGGTGAAAAAAACTATCATTAATGTGAAAAGACACTACTGAATCGGAGAAATATTTGCATGTCAGACATCTGACAAGGGATGAGCAAGGGCAATCACTTAATTGCCCAAGGATGAATTATTGGATAAAGAAGATGTAGCATATATCACAATAGAATACTACTCAGTTATATAAAAAGGTAAAATCTTGCCATTTTCAACAAAATGGATGGAACTGAAGAAGATTATGCTAAGCAAAATAAGTCAGAAGGAGAAACACAAGTATCAAATGATTTCACTGATATGAGGAATGTAAAGAAACAGAGTACGGGTCTCCCCTGGTGGTGCAGCAGTTGAGCACTGGGCTGCGAGGCTGCCCATAGCCTCTGCAGTGCCAGTTCGTTCCCCGGCCACCGGCGAGGGTCCCACAAAAAAAAAAAAAAGGAAACAAAAACAAAGTAAAGGAACAGACAAATCCAAACCAAAGGAAATCCTTTGATTCTGAAGACAGGATTGACAGACTTAGGAGTAAAGGGAGTTGGTGGTAACTCAAGATGGAGTGATTCCAGTGGACTGTGATGGAAGGATTTTGGTACTTTGGGGGTAAGCATGGTGTGGTAACATGTATTTAAAGAGGCTTGAACCTATCCTCCTAAAAAATACAGTGTTTCCTTCAAGAAAAAAAAAATTAAAAAGGACATAGGATTAAAAAAGAAAAAAAAAACTACCACTATTTGCAAAAAGGAAGGATCTTAACTTGGAGTGTCATATTCAATGCAGAAGGCAAAATCAAGGCAGCATGGTGAAGACAGGCAGCTGTTTCAAATGCCTGGCAAAAATGAGTCAACTTTGTGCTGAGGCTCTATGGATCCAATATGCCAATGCCTTCACCTTCCTACCCCACTCACCCAACATTCTGAGAATGAGCTTACATGACTGCCAGCAGTTTATGGAAATAACACAAATATAAGTTGACTGGGTATAATTGTGTTAATTAACCTAGTATTATCCTCTGTCAAAAGGAAGTTGTTGGTAAGCTTCTTGAGTAGAATTCCATAGCAGAACATTGATTAGAGGACAAACATGACTGGTTTCTCACCTAAATTATTCTGTTTGAATGATGGGCAGAGAAAGTAAAAATTGGGGCACTGACATTTATATTAGCAGAGCATACACAAAAGTAACACAATAATTGAATGCTTAATAACTATGGTAAAACTAAACTCAGGCTGAATATCTGTTATTCAATCTTTACTAGTAGTGTAAATTCCTATGTCTTGCATATAAGTGAGAGTATGTATTAAATACCTACATATGTGTATATTGCTTCAAATAGTAGATT